CTTATCAATTTGAAAGAGTTTTTCTTTACATATGAAATCTAAACCCACAAATCACTCTTAAACACCCAATTCCTCATTCCTCAATGGATTCTAGTAAAATTTGGGATAAGCCTCATTATGTTCTGTGTTTCTCAGAAAGTCTCGCTAAAAACTCTAAAATGCATTTCAGCCGTATTAACACACACTTAAAATCACCACTATGTGCAGTCGTGGCCGAGTGGTTAAGGCGATGGACTTGAAATCCATTGGGATGTTTCCCGCGTAGGTTCGAGTCCTACCGACTGCGACTTATTAAAAACTTTGTTTAGAATTCAATAATTAGTGAATTTGTTTAAATAAAGTTTCTAATTTTACATGTAATTTTTTTTCTGAAAAACCAACGAAAACAATAAAAAATCTCTTTAATTTTCGCAACTAGCTTAGAACACAACCACACTCAATTTGTAAAGTATTATTTGAGAACATTGTCGCAAAGTGTCCATAATGTACATGACAAGTCCACTGGATCGACCATTCCATTTAATATTCCCTCAGTGGAAAGTCTGAAGGCTTATTATACTAAAAACCAGGTTTCGATACCTGTGGTAGGCACAACACAGATAGCTATTGTGCAGCTTTGCGATTAACAACAAATCCCCTAAACAGTTTGCCTCTAAAGAAGAAAGATCCACCTTTCGAAAACATTTGGGTTATAGAGTTTTTATTCATTCCTCTAAAGAAATTTTATTTTTGTTCAACCTTTCTTGGAAACTACAAAAACACAGTTCCCTTTTTCTTTTCATAGATATAAGATTTCAATATACCTCATAGCATGATATATTTTGAAATATATTCATGTTTTAAATCCCAAGATACGTCATGTTACTATTAATATTAACTTTAGAATAAAATTTTTCGAAAAAAAAATGTCTCACCAATTGTGACTTTTGGAATATTTCCGCGTAAATCAGAATTCCAAGACTGCGTCAATTTAAACCTCTCCTAAGAAAAATATTTGTTTCAACTATGATTTAAGAAAAAAAATGTAATAAATTCTTAACGTTATTGGCTTCAGGCTTCGTTTAGAAAGAAGTAACACTTCTATTATTTGTGCTTTAAAATAAATATTCTAATATTTATCATTATTAGTTCGAAGGCCATCTCCTGTTCGTTATGGAGTCACTGGATCAATATGCATACTGAAAGTTAATCGCACTTAATAAGAATAGTGTTCCCGATCCTATGCTCTAACAACCATGACCCTTTTTATCGATTGTACTCAGGCTGATGACCGTGATAATGCCCTGCTGTCCGGTACCGATATTTCCATTGTAACAAGCTTTTAATAAAGTAAATATTGGACTATACACAGATCTTCTTCCACTGTACGTGAACTTCGGCTTCCAATACCACGTTTAAATAATCCAAAAGCATAAAATCCTCATGGAGTTACACAGAGAAATTGGTCTAATGCGATTGCTGTGGATCCTGTTCTTAAGCCAACTTCTTATTAATATAGCCGTTAGTTTCAAGGTACGTCAAGAAGATTATCGGTTCTTGACTTGTGAACCTTCATCAACTTAAAATTATTCTAATTATATTGTTAATGGTACGAGGATAGCTTTTATGGAGTTAGAAGACTCTCTTTCTTAATCATAGCCTTTTCTTTGTGGATAACGCCGTTGCTCTTCTCAAAAATTTGAAAGGTGTGTGTTTTAAAGTTCCAATAAAGATTACTAAAGACACCCTTCTTGAAAAAGCTATGTCCTTAGACAATAAATTGTCTAATAATCTCAAAATATATCATATTCTATTTCGGAAAGATATGTTACACCATTCTTCAATCATAATATTACTGTTGGGCATTATGTTTTCGGGTGTTCGTCGTCAGACAAAAGATATCGGCGTGTCGACTGTAGACCCATGAAATCTATATGTGGCGACAAAGACACTGTGTTAACATATACAGGTCGTTCTTATAAAATACGATTAACTTTGTGTAGATTTGAATGAATCATCCTGCTTAAAATCCACGTTGTAAGCAAAACATGTGAGATTGCTTGACATTAAACACCAAATTCGATCGAGATAAATATGCGTCGAAGAAGACGTTTTCGCGGTATTTTAATCTGATTGACTCAAGAACATGGTTATTTAAAGTTAGCTGACTGATTTCTAATGACTAAAACTTAAATGTTACTCATTAGACATCTATGAGCTATAACAATTGAAAAATAGAGCAATTAGACGATGGCAAAATACGATTCCAGTGTCAAAAATATCTGCCACCAGGAGAAGCTAATCATGCAATTCTTATATTAGTACCATACATATCAGGATTCATTCAGCTTATAGAAATAGTTCCTAACGTTAGAACGTTAGTATTGAGCTATTAAACCATTATTGATAATAACGCTGGTACAACATTGAGATCCTATCTGCATGAAATGGACATAGAGAATCTTATACGGGGCTTATCGAAAGCTAACAATAAAAAAGAATAAATAGAACTAGTTCTTGTTACAGTATTAAACACGTGGTCTTCCTTACACTACAGGAAATAAGAGTGATAAGCGAAGTGACCATCACAGCTCCAGACCTCAATCGCTACTGATTTGACTATGAACAATCTCAAGTAATTGGTGTGTCCTAACTGGTCTGCTGTAGTAATAAATCTAAAGATAGTACATGACTGGATTAACGAGATTCCCACTGTACCTATCTACTATCTAGCGAAACCACAGCCAAGGGAACCGGCTTGGAAAAATCACCGTGGAAAGAAGACCCTGTTGAGCTTGACACATGGTGTGTGGAAAGAGAAGACTACAGTTCAGCTGTATGCCACCTTCTTACATGAATCCAAGCAACATTAAACATTAGTTCTCGTTATATCCAACACTTTTATCCTATTAGTTGTGGACATTTCACGATAATTATATTTTGACATCGGAGTCTTCTTTCCTATCACTTCATTATTTCGCTTCCTAAATATTATAGCTCTCTGATGATTAATTTTCGGGTTATGGACATCAGAATAGGACACCAACTTTATAGCAATCCTTATGTGAAAAAAATACGAGGGTGTTTTTATTAGGAAGTAACCTGTTTATAAGGTCGTCGTAAATACGGTGATGTTATCGAATTTCATGAAGTTTGTATGGGTAAGATAAAAAAGTGAAAATTAGAAAGAAATATATTGTTTCCGATATTAGTAATAATTTATTCATTTGCTATCAGAGCAAACTCAATAGAATCTTACAGAATATCGAGTTTATACTGTGTTTTATCGCTGAGCTTTTTTCCCTATAAACACAATAAACTTGATTGTTATTAGACAACGTAAGCTATGGAGCTAAACAAACGTTTTCCACAGAACTCGTCATTTACATGGTGTCAATGTGATTGCTATTGGACATCTTAACCTACGAAGCAACAAAACTTTCCACAAAACACATTATCACGTGGCGCGAACTTGATTGTTATTGGACAATTTAACCTACGAAGCAAAACAAATGCTTGCCATAGAATTCGTTATTATCACGTGGTGCCAAGTTAGTAGTTATAGTACATCTTGCTCTAAGAAGCGGCATAAACTTTATTGAACATGTCAGCACGTGGTACGTGCCAACTTGATTGTTATTGGACAACTTAACCTACGAAAGGACACACTTTTTTTTCTCCATATAACTTGTAATCACGTGGTTCCTCTCGTACCTCTAGCGCGTTAACTGTCAATTTTGACAGACTTTAGAAACTTTCCCTTTCGGACAATGTTTCTTCCTTCAAATAGAAGTGGTTTAATAAAAAAAAAGTGAATGAACTAAAAAAATCCTCCGGGACTTTTACTCGTAGATTCGAATTCTAAATGCAACGAAATTCAAGAGTTTTATTTCCAGAAATTTAAAATGGTTATCTGGTTTGAAATGTGATAAGTTCCTTCTATAAATATCTACAAAATTTGAAAACTTGTTAACAAGTAACTTCACAAACATAAAGTGTGAAGTCTCTTGATTTGTTTTCATTGGTTCTCATTATCTCCGCCACCGAAGGTGGACAGAAGTTATGTTTTCTCCCCTGTGTGTATATGTTTGTTTGTGTGTTTGTCGGCAAGATTTCTCGAAAACGGCTATATGAATTTGGACGAAAATTCGTTCACATTTGGACTATAGTCCAATTTAAAAATGAGTAGTTTTTGGAGGGTCATAGTCGAAGGTCAATATCACAACAAGATCACGAAAATAAAAAAACTCACTATCTGTTAACATGGGGACCGATTTTTCACACAATTTTTGCCCTGTAGCTCAGTCAGAAATGTCAGATTTTGAAGAAATTTACTGGACTTATGTAGAATATTATTCTTCATTGTCCTGCCAAAAATGATCGGTGTTCGTTTATAGCTAGGGACATACAAACACATATTTGGCTCTAGGGTTTGAATCCCCGTCGCTGAACAAGTTCGCCATTTCGGCCGTTATAATGTTAGGGACAATCCAACTATTTGTTAGTAAAAGAGTAGTCCAAGAGGTGGTTGTGGGTGGTGTTGACTAGCTGCCTCCATTGTTAAATTATCGATGGCTAGAGCAGCTAGCCCTCGAGTAGCTTTGCGCAACCTTCGAAACAAACCAAACTAAACCTAACAGCGCTATTTTAAATTGTTTATCTTATTTCTTTGACTCCAAATCATATCTTCGAGACGAATACTTTGTATTTTCCAAAATATTTAAATATTGAATATTTATATATACGTGCGAATTAAAGCCTTACAATACCAGTCACACTATAAATACCGCAACCAACCAACCGATATACGTAATCAAAATATTCGTTTATTCAACCACATAGGCACATAACAAGTAAGTTAGGAATTTTTTATTTTTAGCATGTAAAACGAAAGACATTTGGATGTGATTATTTTCCGGTTAGTAATTCATATACCTCTTTTTCAATAATCACACAATAAATACTTATTTGATTTGGAAAATAGGGTTATAAATATTCTTCTTTCTTTACCTTAACCACGTTTTTTCATCACAAAATATAAGACATCCTTGAGAAGGATTACAATTCCCTGTTGTCGCTTGAGGGGTTGGGTTCTTTGGTGTGCAAACATATAAGTAGGTTTTTCTGTAAACACGATAACATGATGTAAATATAAGCTTCTTTCTTAAAACGCAATAGAATCAGGCCCTGAATAAGCTGAAAGCTAAGCTAGAATCAGGCCCTGAATACGCTGCAAGAGTAGAAACATGCGTACAAGAACGATTATGTCATTATACCCTGAACACAAAACTACATTTCAATACATAT